TAGGGCTCCTTCAGCAGAGCCCTGCTCCTGTGAGAGGTGAGCCCAGCCCAGGCGTGCTCACGGCGGCAGGTACGGGGCCCGTGAGTGCCTTGTTCATACCGCGTGTGGCTGGCGGGCGTCCTGCCCTTGCCTGGCTTGCTGCATTTTCTTTTTGCTCCTTTTTAAAATGCGCCCTCTGAGTGTCACAGTGTCACGGAGACGTGGAGCTGCAGCCTGCAGGGCTTCTGGGGCCACGGGGGCTGCACGGCAGGGATGGTTGAGACGCCGCCGCAATGGTTTCTACGCTGGCTTGTTGTCCTTTTTCATTTCTTTCATCTGCTGCTGGGCAGAGCGCCCCTCGTCTGTCCCCTCCAGACAGCCCGCTCTGCGGCCAGTCTGACGACAGCCGTGCACCTGTGCCCGCAGCGCCCCTCACGTTCCCACCCCTTCTCTTCACTACTCACCTTTGTACCTGTCAGGTTTTAAGTGAGCTTTAAAACGTGTTGTTTTCTAAGTGCACTGTGGTGTTCTGCAACAGAAAAGGGAATTCACGGAGAAACCGATGACATTCAAATAAAATCCGTGGTTAACAGTATTGGACCAATGCTGGTTTCTTGGTGTTGACAAACGCACCGTGTTGTTGACCCTTAGCGGAAGCTGGGGGAAGGGTACACAGGAACTGTACGATTTTCACTTTTCCGAAAACCCAAAATTGATCCTTAGTAAAGATATTTTAAAGTATATGACCTTAATTAATCCCTTTCTTGTTATTGGAAGACTTTCCTTTGCATTGAGGATGAAGTAGAGGTGGGCTGGTTTGTTAGGATTTGTGGCACGGAAGCTCGCTGCTCTGACAGAGCTCGGACTGTAATTGAGGGAAGGGGTGGGGCAGGGGTCGGCTTTGTCTTTTCTTGCCGCCTTTTGTCAGGAACTGTGACCCCGTGTAAAGGAACAAGAACTGCCGAAGGAAAAGTGTGTGCTGCTTACTCTGAACACTTTGGAGCTGACACACTGTCCGTTACCTCACACACAGTGGCTCCTAGAAACGTCCGAGATACAGGGGACAAACTGTCCCAAGCGCCAAGGTCACGGAGGAGTGGCTCCCGTACCGTGAGCCCAGGCGGTTTTGTTTGCTTTGCACATTCAGGCCACAGGTGTCTCCACGAAGGTGGTGAAAGGTGGGGGGATCGTCTGGGTTCTCTGTAGTTGGGAATTTTCACGTGCGTGTTCATGTTTTACCTGGGGCGTTTTCTGAACAAGCTCACAGGGGGAGTGCGATCTTCAGCGCGCCTGAGAGCCCGAAGTTGTGCCGCAGCCGGGTTGGCCTCCGCCCAGGAAGTCGCTGGCTCCGCGTCGGCCAAGACAGCATGTCTGGTGAGCCTCGTTAGCACGGACAACGCCAGGGTCCCGACTCAAGGGTCCACTCATATACACAATTGTCACTGCAGGACATGTCGCATTAGAAAAACATCCAACGTGGCTTACGTGCCAGAGGGGGGCTATTTCAGATGAAAGGTGGCGGCGCTGTAATTCTTGCAGAGAAAGGTGCGCAGTCCAGTCAGGGGCTGCCTCCCTAGAGTTCGCCCAGCGGGGGTGTGTGTCTCAGAGACCCAGGCTCGGGGACATGCCCTGCCAGTCCTCCTGCCCGGCAGGCAGTCTGTGAGGTGACGCTGGCGCGTGGCTCCGCCCCAGCCCTGACAGCTCTGAGCAAAAGGTAAGCTGGGCCGGGAAAGGGGCCTTTTCCCGCTGGCCGTTCCACGGCGAGCAGCGTCCTTTCCCCGGTCTCAGTTCCTGGCCTCGCTCGCAGAGCAGACCTGCCTCATCCAGTCCGCAGCTTGGGGACAGACCTGGCCGGACACCAGCACCTGGCGCAGTGTTTCGCTCCTAGTTGAGATGCTTGGCAAAATTCTCTTGCAGTCAATTTAACAAATACTTGCTGAGCACCTACTAGGTGCCAGGCACTGTTCAGTGAATAAAAAAGCAAAGACCCTGCCGTCACGGAGCTCACAGTCCCACAGGAAAGGAGGAAAACTGGGTCATTTTACTGTCGTTTTGCAACATGTAAATACACGCTTCTGAATTAGCCTCAGGAAACATCACACCCCTAGGAAAACTGGCCGTGTGGGAGTGATGCTGGGTGTGTGTCTAGATCCGTTCCCAGCCGTCACTTTGGATGCTGTCCCTTGGTGGCGGAATGGGGAGATCTGTTGAAGCTGTGGTTACATTTTCATCAGCTCAGATGTGAGAAGAAACACCAGCCCCGGGGACGGAGGCTTTTCCTTTGCTGGCTGTGTCTGGTTTTCCCTTACGCTTTTCTTTCTCGACAGACTTCCTCATCACACAGAGCCACAGACAGGCGCACGTCCAAGAAGTTCAAGTATGACAAAGGTCATCTTGTAAAGTCAGAATTACAGAAACTCATCACTAAAAGTGAGAGTGCTTCTTTGCCAAAAGTGACTCCTGAGACCCGCTGTGAAAATGCGTTTGCTGAAGACGGTGCCCTCCTTCCGGGCAGTGAGGCCGGCGTGTCCACACGCCCGGAGGCTGCGGGTCTCCCGCTGGGCCGCTGCGGAGTCGTGAGTGACTCCTGCTCAGCACGGACGGAAGACGGCCTGCCCGCGCCCAAACCTGGCGCCGATCCAGGAGCAGAAGAACCCAACAGCGGTTCCGCTGTGCAGGGAGAGTCGGCGCTGGAGACAGAGGGAGGGCGGGCGCCGCTGCTCCAGATGGACGACAGCGTGTTTCTGGACGACGACAGCAGTCAGCCAATGCCAGTGAGCCGATTCTTCGGAAACGTGGAACTCATGCAGGTAAGCGTGGCTCCTGCCTCCTCGCATAGGTACTCGGGCAGCACTGTGCACGCTCGAGTC